GTAAATAGAAATGCCTTTATATACTTATTGACAGAAAATATATTGAAAAATAAAAAGATGTGTTGATAAATAAAAAAAAAAAAAATAAATAAATAAAAATAACAAACCATGATCATCTTGTTCATGTAAATTAGAAATATTTTAATTAGTGTTAAGAATAGTTTTTGGGGGATGCATTTATCGAGGGAGGTGTATATATACTCAAACAAAGCCCCTTAGGTAACATTAGTAGAACACTAATAGAATGTGTTGAGAATGATGATGCTTTAATCCAAATGAGGCTCTCTGGACAGGTTGTATATTTGAACAAAAATATGGTACACTATTTATGTAAAAATATAACATGTTTCATGAAATAATTTGGATACCGACATTCACGGAATACAAAAAAAAAAAAAAAAAAAAAAAAAAAAAAAAAAAAATTATTCAGTGGTCCTACAAAAAAAATTTCTTTTCTAATTATGTATGGCCTTGCACGGCCTTGATGAAAAACACCCATGGGTGATTCAAGTGTCTCCGTGTTTAAATAAAGTATATTATTATTATTATAGTCACAGACCTTCTGTGCCTTACTGTATATGCAATGTTTTGCTACCGGTAAATTACATTTAGAAAAATATAGGAACTATTTTTGTGTCATGCACCCCTTGATTCAGGAAGGCATAGGCTTGCTGCTGTTGTTTCCTTTCAGCGCTAACCTTGAGTTGCCCAATACGCTTTTGAAGGGGCAAATTCCCATAAAAATTAAAACCCCAGAGCTTGGCTTAATTCCTCCAAACATTTGGCTCTCTGACTGATAAGACACTTCCCAGACTTTTTAAATCTGTTCCCTTTTAAAAAAAGGCACAATTTCTCAAGAAAATGGGTGCAATCGAGAGAGTTATCTTTCCAATCTACAGTCTGATCACCTCTGATAAAACAAGACCTGACATAACATATTTGCAACTCAACTGAATAATAACACTCACAGGAATTTTTATATATGATAACATTAATCATATCAATAGTAATGATAAAGATTTTGCTGATATTTCTCTTCTCGGTAATAACATTATTGCTAATATTTATTAATAACTGATCAAATTAATGATACAAATAATATTAGTTGAAAAAAATGAGTGTTTATCTTGGGTGAGCCAATGTGAAAAGTTGCTATAGACTTTTGAGTTTCTTTAGTCAGTAGTAATGCGTATTACTATAGCGATATACGTTATAATTGTTTAATAAGTTACTTGCAATTCATGCTCGGTTTATTTTTCCATAAATTCTTTTGGGATTCTTGAGAATATATTTAAAAAGGTTCATTTATCCTGTTTTGTATGTCTACTAAGACCTTTTTTTTTTTAGAAAAAAAAATATAAGAAAATGTATAATGAAATAATGAAAACCTTAATAATCTGTCTGGTTTAAATAATAAATCAAAATTCATAATAAAAACAATAAAAGTTCTTTAAATGTGATTAGCTAAAAAATCTGGAAAATAAATTCAATATTTGAATATTGGTTATTTTGTACATTTAAGTAAATTTAGCTTTCTCTAGAAAAAATTAACAGATCTGCATTTATCCTTTATTATGCACTTTTTATTAGACCGTTAAATTTGCTGGTGGACCATTTATGGATTTTAACTGGGAAGTCATGTAGCGGTCAAAAAAAGCACATGTTTTTAACCTGTTTAAAAATATGAAGTGTATAAATTTAAAACAAGTATATTTAAACAAACGTCAAATTATTATTTCATCTGCAATAAGGAAATACAAGTTTATCTCTTTGAGACATTTAGACGTGGAAATCACTATTGAAATGTCAAAAAATTATTACTTAATATTATCTCTATACTGCTTAGGAAAGTACAGGGCAGAGGGAAAAGAAGCGCCTCTACTACTGATTAGAAGGGCAAGGAAAAAGGGGGATGGGGGCTCTAAAATTAATTTATTTGAGGTTATTCCTAATCCAGTGGAAGTATTCCCTGAGATTGTATTAGTTTATTAATTATGGTTTTGACCTGAAGTTATAATTTTGTAAATCATCGTCTGCAGCCTCCTCTTACAACATGACCTACTTTTTACATTCTTAATTCAATACATATTTATGTTTGTTGATAATGATATATCAAGGTCAGCTGTTAGCCTACATTGGCTAAAACATAAACAAATTATCAACTTTCACCTTCTCATACAGTATCTGTATTCCTATAATTATCTTATGTCTTCATTAATATCACCTTGATTAAAGTATGTTTTCAGAAATCTTAAGTGCTGAAGTGAGGGCCTATCGCAATTTCTGTTCAAAAACGAGTGTTATTTCCGCACATACAACAAGAAGTATAGACTTGCCTTTAATTCATTTTTAATTCAATACATGATTATATCAATGTCAGCTGTTAGCCTACATTGACTAAAACATACACAAATTATCACCTTCTCATATCTGTATTCCTATAATTACATCAAAACAATCATTTAAAATCTGATGTCTTCCTTATCTCATTGATTAAAAATATGTTTTCTGAGATAATGTCTTATTACATTAAGTGCTTAAGCGAGGGCCTATCGCAATTTCTGTTAAAAAATTAGCATTATTTCCACATGTACATGTAAGAAGTTATACACATTTACTAGAAAGCCCCAACGATCATTTGGTTAATCTGGTGGCGGGATGACTTTTTACCCTTTCGCAGCAAGGTACTATATATATTCATAAACTTGTTCATTTGTATTTTTAAACGGAAGTAGAAAGAGTTTTATTTAGATGCATCCTAAATGCAGACCCGAAATTTAAGGATATCAAATTCTAACTTTCATCCTTTTAATCTGTCTTGGTTTTCTTAATCCCAATGTTACTAAGTTTCCTAATTCAATAAAATAAAGTTACACAAAATTGTTTTGACAAGAAGTAGTAACATTATATAATCTACATACTGTATACTACAAAAATTGGATAGTTTAATGTTTGAATACTGAGAAGAATATTGATATTTAATTAATCTCAACCAACCAATTGAGATTTAAAGTTTACAAACACTCCATCCAAGAGTGAAAATAAAAGTTACCAATCTTAGAAACGAATGTAAACGATTTTAATAAAGGTTAAATATTGGCTGAAGATATCATTCTTAATATTTTCTGAATATAGCCCAATGTAGAATTAGAAACTGTTAACTTAATGAGGGACAGGTGACTACTATTACAGTAGCTATTAGCAACAGCTCCTACAAGAAGGATAAGTAGAGTGCCGAGAGCCAGGAACACACTGTATCATTCTCGCACGCACTGTGTTGACGTTGTCAGCTAAAGCGACTTTAATAGCAGCAATGCATTGTGCAACGGATCGTTTTTAGTGACAATCCGCATAGACTGCCAAAACATATTTCAATAGTTAAGACTTAATTTTAATAATTTATGCATTTCATATATAATTCCATATATACAGTTATTGTTTAAGATACTGTAGTTGCAGCCTTATTCAGCAGTGATCCAGAGGTGGATTAAATGGTGGTTGGGGTGGCCATTTTTTTGAAAAATATATATTAAATGGAGCAAAAAAGAAATTGCCTTCAAATTGACATTCTGGCCAATTAGAAGTGCCACAGACATAAAATTGTCAATTTGCTGCGTAGCGCTGTATAACACAATACAGTTAAACTGGCCTAAGTCAACTTTGTCAATTAATTCAATCTTATTTTACATGCCAAATGGTTTTTTATTAACGATCTGTAAGTCGAATTAATATCTAAGTCGAACAATTTTTCATTGCCATTTTTGATTTGACTTAGGCAAGTTCAACTGTATAAATAATAATACCAGTGCTCAAATAGGAACATGTGATGTAATAATCATATCAAGCATAGCCAGTTCCTTCAGTTGTATAATATTGATTGAAACCTGCAGCCTTCTGATGTAATTTTCATACCTCAGCTCCAAACATAGTGGGGCTAAGATACTGTAGTCTGAACCATCCCAGGCCGACGATCTGCCACTGATATCATAATCATGCATTTGGTTGGAAGCCCACAGCCTATTACTACCACACAAGACACCACTATTCAAGTGGAGTTAAAAAAAAAACTATCCATCAACACCATAGATCATGTTTCTGAATCATTGGGATCTTGCAAGGCAATGCATGTGGCAATCCCATGAAGCAATGCTACGTGGTCGTGGTCGTTGTTAGAATGACATTGACTTAATCAAATTCAATTCTAATGGAAAATAAATTTTATGTGTGTTGAAGGTATAGATTTTATCAGCGTTGCTCGCTTCCTCTAGCTCTTTATCCATTTTTTGTGTAGATTTAGATAAAACTAACTTTTTGACACATACTTTATTGTATTTTCAATGTCACTTATCCATTATTTTTATTTTATTTCTTTTAAATATAGGCCTATAGTAACATTAAATTCAAGGTTCTGGGATTTACACGTCTTTCTACCATGCTGCTCACATTGATTTTTTTTTTTTTGTACGCTGATTTGTTTAAAACAAATTAAATCCAGTGCAAACAGGCTGGGAAACATATAATTTAATAGGCAAGTTACCCATGTTGCGCAGTTAGTTTAGCAGAGCAAATCATGACCTCCCCAGGAAGATTTACCAGGTTCTGCTTTAGTAAGTAGAAAAAGCTCAAAGAGAATAGTGCAACTCTGAAATCTTCCTGCTACAGTAGATGGCAAATGTATCTGACTATACTACTCCATAATCTATTTATTTATTTGGTATTTATATAGTTCCTTTCCTTTAGGTTAAAAAGCGCTTTGTTTTCCTTGGCCATCGGGTCAAACTCTTCCAACTGCGTAAAACCACTATAATAATTTTCTTATAATTACAATTTTATAACTATTTGTTATTTATTATCGGCAAATCAGATTCCATTAAAGATATGATTTGTAATGAAAAATAACAAGAAATAAAATAATGAGAAATTTTTTTATTATCTATAAATAAAAAAAAAAGTTCACATTTTAGTTAAACAAAAATTTGAATGAGAACATTGTTACTCACAGAATCTTGTGCCCATTACACAAGAAATCCACTTGACTATAATAGGATGTACCACAGTTAAAACTATAATGAGAATACAAATGATTTGATTGGTTAAAGTTTTGATAAAGGACTATTCCATTAGTTATGAGGGATGGATTGAAGAGATTAGTAATGAAAATAATTTAGTCAAAGTGATTCTGAAGCAAATTACATCAATATCATATTTGACACTACATCAAGCCAGTTCCTATGTTCTATATATTAGAACTAATGTATGAAAATACATTCTTTTTTCAAATTTTATTTGATTTCTTTCATTTATTATATTTAATGGTTAGTAGATATTTTTTGCATTATCTAAATCATGTTTATTTTGAATATCAATGCACCAGCAAACAAACAAAGGGTGATATTTGGCTTTAGCAAAATAAAAAATTTAAAAAAAAGCCTCCCTCCCTCATCACTTTTCCTGCCCACATAGGGTGATAAATTAATAATGTTTTTTTTAGGGCCTAAGTTGGGATGAACAAATATTGGGGTAAAATAAACAGGAATAACACTAACCAGGCAAAAGTCTACACCACAGCCTTGACTTCTGGGAAGGAAGTTCCAAACAGCAGCCCCTTCAACCAGGCTACTATTAAGTCATCATTATAATATAGGTCTCCTGTTACAGATTTACCCCAGGGTCTCAAAACACTTAAATCTAACTTGTAAAAGTATTTAAACCCATCCCAGTTTCTTTTACAAGGCTACATCAACACAAGTTGATATAACACAAGTAGGGCATATGGAACCCCTGCTGTGAGCTCTTCACTCGCTTTTTTTTCTGCGAGCTGAATAATCAGTAACATATACCTCAGGACAATATAATCGCCACATGGCGAGTTTCTTTGTGGCGGTATTCCAAGTTAGCTGAAGCTCAGCAGGTTTTTGGACCTTTTTCGTAACCGCAGCGGATGAGTAATGTCCACAGGATAGTGAGTGGTGGAACAGAATTTGAACAGCACGTGTGTTCTCTTCACTGTGGTGGCTATGCTAACACGTGTAGGCATGTACTAACAGCTATTCTTCCATGAGAAACAAGTGTTCGAAATGAAAATACTCGTAACGTGTTAAATTGGATGGTGTTGAGCGTTTCATTATGGCCTTCAAATGCTTTTTGCATGTCTTGGCAGAAAACAGTTCCAATTACATAAACATTTTTTTCATTTCATTGATTGCACTGGAGATGAAAAATTACCGGTTAATAGTCTTGTGTACAGTAATGATCAGTGTCTTACTTTTATTTTGTTATGCCTAATTCAAGATCCATTCGGGCATAAGTCCCTAAAATTAATGCCCTGGATTCAGACAGTGTTATAGTATGGCGACGCGTGTGAGTTTTTGAATTTTAGTTTTTGTCTGTTTTCCCCAATGGTTTTAGTTTACGTACATAAAACTTACAAAGAATAAAGAAAATAGATTTTTCTTTTTAAATGCACAAAAAGCTGCTTCTGCAGACTATGGAAACTGGCACATTTAGAAGCTCTCTGAAATTGATACATAGTATACATAAAAAGTGATGTTGTGCAGCTGAAACAAAGCCAGGGGCTGTAGCCAACTTGCACTTGGCTGAACGATTTTTGCATCACATGAACAACATTGCCAGCTGAGGTAAGCCTTGCCAAATGTGGGCCGTGTGGGACAAATTGTTTGCCAACAGCCTCCCTCGGTGCTCTGCATCACCCCTAACCACAAATGGACAGGTCAGGATGTTTGTATTTTCTATACGTTTGAATATCATATTAATGTTTCAGCATCAAATTTGTAATTGAAAAAAAAAAGTTCATAAAAATGATTATATTTACATTCATGTGAATGGGTGGCCTTCAAAAAACAATTGTGAATAAGGAAAACAAAAAAGAACAATGAGGAAAACAAAAAAGAACAAAGACAGTGTTCATATATATAGGACTATACTTACCTTTCCTTACATATTCCTTTTGCTTGTTTGTTTTTATCTGAACTACTATTATACACAGTGGCAAGGATGCCATATTACTATTGAAGACCCATATTTCCTGTATGGATCATGGCCCTAAATGCTTCCAATTCAGAAGTGGCAGTATTCGGCACACAAAAAGCGCCACCTGGCCCCTGGGGCAGCTCCGCACCTGTTGTAGACATGAGACTGAATTACCCGGCAACGAACACCAGACTTCGCAAAATGTTTAAGGAACTTCCTCTTACGACAGAACACTTTGTTTGGGGACCTGGATAAATGCTGACAATCTGAAGCGACCTAGTATCATTTTCATCATCACACTGTAAGGAAAACGAAGATATATCCTGAGTGAAAAAAAATTTCATTTATAAGTTTTTTTTTCTTTTTTTGCTAACTGAATATATCAAATACAATATAATATAAATGACTTTTAAATTTTATTTAACCATTGCGAGTCACAACAAAAATATATCATTAAAAACTAATATAAATTACACAAGAAAAAAATAAAATATGTAATAAATATAATTTTAATCTAATTAATATACATATAAATTTGTATATAAATCTAATATACAAAATGTATTAAAAAATAAAAATATACATTAAACAAAAACCAATAGAAACAAACATCCCTACTACAGATTTGTGTAGGCCCATAATCACACTGAACATCCTAAGGACCACAATGACCGTTATCATTACTTTTTGCGTTTCTTTAATGTATTATGAATAAAGAAAGCATGTTTAAAACTTTAACTAGAAAATCATAGCCTACAATATATTTCAGAACGCAATACATCTGAAAGCAATTTGAAGATAGCTATATTGATTAAAGAACATGCATTTGTTATGTACATACCATATTTACATTCGGTACTTAATCTGATTCAGGCAGAATCGTTTTCCACAGTCATGGTTCAGCCTCCAATATCCATTCATTTGTTCTGTACATGTGGCGTCGTCTACAGTTATTCCCAAATCGTTGGATGGTTTCAACAATCTGCTTAGGATGCTTCCTCCTCTGTGGCTACTTCTAATTTGGAACTTGTTAGTTATGAAACCTGTAGTCTATGAAAACCAGTGTGTCAATCACGTAGTAATATAAAATATGATCACCTGCTAAAATCCTATTGTGTGGATTAATATAGCACAGATCAACATTGACGCTGTTGAAAGAAAACAAGTGGAAGCTGAGGCCAAGGAAGGGGGGGAAATAGAGCAGCTGGAAGGGGCTTAAATGTGTGGTATGGATTTGAAGGCAAAGGAGATTTATGGTAGGGAAGAGTTATGTAGAAGACTGAATAGAATTGAAGACAAGGAAAAATGAAGACATGCGAGTGAATATCAATTTGGGAAATGGTATTTAAACGTACAGAAGGTCAATAGGGCATACAGGGAATTGATTTGAATTTGTATACTGTACATGTTGTTGGAATTATCGTTTCTTCTTAGTAGCTTTTGTTGCTTACTTTGATGTGTCTGTGTTTGCGGGTGTGATTGAGGGAGGCGGGCGGGGAATGGAATAGTGCATTTTTAAATTGTACTTTGAAGGCAAGGGAACAGGTTAGAGTTATTGCAGAAGGGACTGATAGCTGGGGTGGACATTGTATGCAGAAATTTTAAAGTTTGAGAACATAGGCAGAGAAGGCTATGAAATTCCTTGGATTTTTTGGCTGAATTTTACAATTATAGGGATATAGTAATCGTACTAAAAGTAGTTCCTCCGGTATAAACCCACCTCGGGTACAAGTCCACCATGTACTTTACGGCCAATTTTTACGTACAGTACCAGCAGGCCCGTAGGCAGAATTTTTGATGGGGAGGTGCCGTTTTGCAACCGAAGTGGACCTTACGATGGGCGACTGCCTAGGGATCCCCGCGAGGGTGGGGCGAATCTTCTGGAAGCTCTCCAAATTAGCATTTTGAGGGCCTTTTTTAATGGATTTCTAAAATCCATAATTTGTAATATCCTATTTAAATTTTCAATCATTTGAGTATTGTCTAGGGATCTACAGTAAAGCAGGAGAAATAGAGGGTGGGGTGTGAAGGGAGAAACTTGCACAGACAGATCGTCAATACCACCTCAGCCCCACCATGGTTGGGATTAAGGTAAGAAAATTTATGATTATGGCACCTCAAAGTGGCCGGAAATGGCACTCTCAGACAAACTTTAATTATGATTTTTCTTTTTTCTCCATTTCTTTTATAATTTTAGGGGGCTCTTCCCCCTTGAATCCACCATTGTGAAATTATAATTTTTCATGTCCTTTACATCTGTAGGAGCTGATAATTTCCAACAGATTTCGTAGCACATTATAAAAAATCAACAGGTAGAAGAGCGGGCAAAAAATTGTAATGCATTTCGCGATAATTAGGAACGATTTTAGAGAAATAGGTTTTAAAAAGTGGACTTTTTGAAATTTGGTGGTCCAGGGGCAGAGGCCTGAAGGGGGTTTGTGAGAAAAGCGGCAAAGTAGCATTTTGAGGGTCTTACATAATATATTTCTCAAACACATAATTCATGAATATTTCATTTAAATTTTCATTAATTTGGGTGTGTTTGGGACCTCAGAAAGTAACGTTATGTCCTGTATATCTGCAGGCCTATAGATAACAATCTTCATATTATATAGATCAATCTGCAATCACCAGAGACGATCAATTTCTAACAAATTTCATACCACATTATTAAAAATCAACGGTTAATAGATAAGCTGACAAATATATAATGCAATGCATGCTATAGCTTTTTGTGTTCATTAGAAACGATTTTGTGAAATCATAGGTTTTAAAAAGTGGACCTTTTGGAATTTAGGGGAAGGGGGTGCGTCCACACCCTCTGCACCCCCTTCCCAGCCTACAGGGCCTGACTAGCATTTCCTCAGGCAAAAATTTATGATTTGAATGAGTAGCTTAGCTGACTTTTACAAATTGTAACCAAAAAAAAAATCAAATTTTGCATAGTGTAGAAAAAATTACCTTCTGAGAAAAGAAATTCCCGGGTATAAAAAAAAAATCGGCACAATGTGTTCCAGAGGCTCAGAGGAACTACGCTATTTGTTTTCTTGTTTAATTCTCGGTTGAAAGATAAAACTGAAATATACAATACACAGTAAGTTGGTGATAACATTTTTTTTTTAATTTGAAGTATATTATTAGATCTAAATGATAGTACAGCCAGTTGAAGGCGAGACTTTTTTTACATCTTGTTTTGTAAATTTAAATTTTAAAGACTAAAAAAAAAAAAAAAAAAATAATTTTTTTTTATTTAGCAAATGGTTTTGACAATTGATGAGAAAATAAGAATAAAATTTTATTGGTGAATGTATAGTAATGGGAAGGTTAAATGCTTTACACTTATATAATTAGGAATAAATATACTTATCTTATTTTTAGAGAGCGGCGGGCATAATGAAAATAAAGAAACACTTTTTTTTCCTGAAATTTCCATTTTTTTGTGGCTGTGGGTGTGCTAATTAACCGAAATCAAATTTTATTTTATATTTTCATTTGAAATCATTATTATTGGTGGGCGGCAGGTTCGTTGAACACCGTGTATAAAAAAGTTTTGGCTAAGGGTATATGCAAAGAAAGTGGGAACCGTAAATATTCTTAAAATTCTAAATGGTACCCCAATGGCATGACCCCACACACAGGGGAATCTGGGAAAAATAAGCTGACAACATCTAATGAGACACAGATCTACACAGTTTTATTCCTTTAAAGTTCACTTTCTAAACTCAGACAGTAACCTTTTAAGGAATCACGAAATCGAAACCATAAGGGTTACAAAAATTAGCAATGAGAGCAGCTTTATTAACCCAAAGGCAAAAAAATAAGGGGTACTGTACCCTACAAATGTCACTATCGTTACACAGAAGCGTTAAACAACAGACGGTACTAATTTCTGAGGGACATTTCTAGCGAGGAAAAAAATTTCGATTTGGTATCGTTTTAGGAATCAAATTACGAAATGATATTAAACAGCTGAGTCAGTGGGTACATGGTTGTGTCGTAAGCGTCATTTAGTTTATGATTAATAAGCAATATTTAACAACATTTGTGTTTGATCTCGAATGGAGGATATTAAACACAACAATTTTCAACATGATTTTTGTCACTAGGGTTACTTAGCTTGGTGTGACATTAAACACGTTGAGTGGCTTAATAAAATCAAATTAAAAATTTTGTTAGTTTGAAATGAACCAGGTATAGTATTGGATAGATCTTAAAGATACCTGGGTTATGAGCCAATATACTTGAGTAATAAAAATTTAACATTTGATCACTGACCAAATAATGTGTGTATAGGGTTACGTTAAAATCTTGAAAAACCCTAAATATTCAATTAAAAATGAAATTTCATTTAATAGATTAAATTTAGTCATAATCCTCTATGTAACAGATCCTAAATAACAAAAAAAAAAATGAAATAAATGCACTAGGTAACCTTATCCTATTATATTAAAAATTATGCCTAACTTGATTTATCTTAAATGTTGCCCAATGGAGCTTCAACCCACACAAAGTAAATTTTTTTTTTTTTATTTCCTTCATGTCCAACTGCAAGTACACTCCCTTCTAATACAGGATAGACTGATGCTTTATAAACTAAGTCTGTTATTAAGGCCCAGGCAGTAGAGTTGATTGTGGTTATAAGATATTAATTTTATATTTGGATGATTTTTTTTCGTTACGTTCTATTAAGTTATTAACTTATAATGAAACAAGGACAATAATAAAAAAATATTTTTAATTGTTTACCAATCGAATTTCTGAATGTTATTGAACATTAAATAAAGTATATAAACCAATTTAAGTATTGAATTTTATTGTTCAGCTCAACATAGTATTTAAGTCTATCAAATACATGCCAACAGGATTGGGGAGCAGGGTCGTGCCAGGATTTGCCTGACGAGGGGTCTGAGCTTCCCGAAGGGGGCCAATGTCGCCGACGAGGGAGCAGACGAGAGCAAAGTTGGTGTGGTCGGGTGTTACTCAAAATATTGTGGAAGTGGTCCAGGGGCGAAGCCCAAAAAAGTTTGAAAATTTAGGGGTTCAAAGGCATGTTTAATCAATTTTAGAGTACTAATATGCATTATTGTGGTTTTTCTCCTAGACGGGAAGTGGGGGAGCTCTCCGTGAGGGGGAGGGGGGCTTGCAATTTTCTTTGTACTAACCGGGAAAGCATGTGAGAAAATGTGAGTAAAAGAATTGGCCGGGAGTGTTGGCATGTATGCTATCAATTAAATTCTCATCGTTAAAACATAAAGTATTGCAACTTTTTTTAATGCTTGTGATATTGATCACATAATATCTTGCTAAAACAGAAGTACTTAGATCATTTAATCATTACATTCACACTCACATTATTTTTATCATTACACAAGTTAAAAAAAAAAACAAGCAGTCATGATGCCTCCACCTCATATACCTTAGCTTTGATGACTTAATTAACTAATTTGTCATCCTTGAACGTGCGGGTAATAATATTAGGAACTAACAACACTTTCCATTGAAAGCAAAAATGTGTTTGTGTAACATTTAACAGCATTGACCCTCCAGTCCTTCTGGGTGAGAAATTCTATTCCAGCATAACCACATAATAATATTAAACATACAGTATGAAATTTGATCTTTTTCAATGAGCAAGTTAAAACCCTAAGTTTTCCCAGACATTACACGGTTGTTTCTGAAACATGGCAAACATCTTTAGATTTAAGTTCAGATCTGAATCACCATTAAACCATTATGATAATGCTTAACATCAATAAGGTTTAGGTACATTTATTGGCATATTCCTGGCCGCACATAACTGAACACAAAAAAGCATATCAATAGATACATGTCACAGCTTTGTAAAATCTGCGGTATATTTGTATCACTATGTCTGCATTGCATCACCAATGCCAAATAATAATACATGATGAGTCACCTCATTTTAATTTGATACAACATTACCTCTACAAACTTGGTTTATCCCACAAAGAAAAAAAAAATGAAATTGGGATAATGATAGTCAAGGTAAGTTCAAGTTGTATACATAATATAGATTATCTCATCACAGAATGACGAGAATTAAAGAAAAAATGCCAAACAAATACACACATAAAAGTTTCTAAAATGAATGATTCACTTTATCAAGGCAATTAATTTCCACCTTAAGCTAAGAATTTAAGATAAAGTTGTGATAATATTAAAAAATATATGATAAGACAACAGCAAAACATCACAAGACGCAATATGTGGGCAGGGTGATGACAGGAAGATTGACCAATCAGAAAAGGGTGGAGTAAATAAAGACTTGCATAAAATACATCGTTTGAAACTATAATTTGAAGTACAAATTATTTTATCGTAAGACATAATCCGCCATTTCCTATACAAAATTTATGCCTGACCAATAAATCCAGACTCGTTTCTCGAATATGGCTTACGATCAAGTGTGGAATGACTGGATCTGTAAACAGAGAGACTTAAAAATGATGAGATGGATAAAATAAATCAGTCTGCAACTGTACCACCGCCAAATAGATATGTCGGTCTTCAACTGTGTAATGCCCTGACCTCTATACGTCATTACAGGTAATTGGATCAAAAACTAAAGAAACCCATTGGCTCCCTGGGCATATATATCAAGATATTGTAGCTAATAATTCCATTTGAATCTACTAAATTATCTATCCCTCGCTTGGTGGCTTATACTCCTGGGTTGCGGAAGAGAAACAGACTAAAGTGCCTCGCCCCCAAGGACAACCAAAATGTCCAGTCTCAGATGCAACCTGTTGATTGCAAGCCAAAACCTTCCCTAGCCGACATGCTTTCCACATTATTTGTTATATATTGGTGGTTAAAGGACTTACAAATCTAGGCCACATTTTTATCCTCTATTTGTGTGGTTTTTTTTTTTATACTACTGCTTTCTTTTCCACCACACTTATATTATTATTGTTTACATCATCATTTTTGTTTTATAATTTGATGTAACGCACATAAAGATACTGTGCAAATGCGCTAATATAAATGTAGATTATTATTATTTCAACCATTTCTGTTTCCTGAAAAGCGCCGGGGGCTATAAAAGTGTTAAGCCATTGCCTGTAAAAGTGGTTTGGCGCAGAGGGAACGGTTTGGTTTCCCAATCTTCAGATCTGGGTTTCAATTCCTCGCTGTGCATTTCATTGTGCCATTGAGCAAAATACTGCATTACTTCTCTGGACCCCTGGAGTATAAATTGGTACCTGGCAGGGGATGTTTGCCTGCTCCTGAGCTGATTACAGCACCAACACTTAGGAGTCTGGACTCAATGACCTGAGACAGAAGCAACCTGAAAAAAAAGTGCTATATAAACAAACAAAATATATATATAAAAAGAAAATACCATTAAATATTGACGAAGAAAGCAAGCAAAGATATCTGAATGAAATTTTTTTTTTAAATATTTCCGTTATCAAGCTTGATAATCACTATAGAGTAATAACTACAGTGTTATGTCACGATACCGTGTGTTACTACTCTGTTGCTATGGTTGCAAAGAGTTCAACCAGGTCCCATTTTCTCCACTGACAAACCATTGATCCCAATTTCTACCATAATTTTTAAGATGTTGTAAATTACTTTTTCTTTTAAAATTTTATTTGATGATTAAATGTGTGTTTGATAACTAATATAATGTGAGCTTTTGTGGTTTTAGTACATTTTGATGGTAAAATGTTAGACTTTAAAATGCCTATTCTAGAAAGCCTATGAAGTCATTTATGTGTATATAAACGGTATTCAACGTCTGTTGACAACAGAGGGTGCCATCTGGCGTCATGACGACACGACTGTGGTACTCTATAATTCAGAAACTAGGAAATGCATACAGGTAACAATTCCAGATCACAGGTACAGGACTTTATGATTGATAGAGCAGTCATTATAGACAAGATAAAACTTTTGGGAGATCCCAAAGAATGGAGATATATTTAACATGGCAAAGTGAATGAACAGTTGCCAAATTAAATAGAATTGCCAACAGCATCCAATTCAGCTAACTCGGAACTTCATTATTTATAGTGACATTGGGCCCGTTCATGCTTATGTTATTACCCGTTGAATGTTAGCGGGAATATAATTCGAAGGTAGTGTGAACGGAGGTAATTAAAAAAACATCTGGCCGAAAAGCAGGTTAGCCAACCCACCAAACTTGCCGGTTAAAAGTTGCCTGAGGCGAATCCTTGTGACCTCGGTGATGACCTTAATGACTTTTACAGGCCTAGGCCTACTAACGAGGGATGTCCAAAATAGGCCTAGGCCTACCTCATGCTGCGAGTGCAATAAGGGTCCTCCCAAGAGTCAACACATGCATTGCTCCTACGCCGCAAAAATATATTTAACTTTATTTACTCGGGACTTCGCTATTTCCCTAAAATGAATCGGAAAAACGTCTGGACAGAAGAGGCAACATTCGCCCTGATAAGTGTGTGGGGGGGGGGTCTACCCAGATACAAGAATGTTTTGATGGGACAAGGAGGAACACACAAACCTACGGGCTGATAATTACAAAGATGGAAGAGCTGGGCTTTGGCTTTATTGTTTTCATAACAAAATTAGCGAGTGACCTTCTAACTACCCATTGAATTTACAAAGCATGAATGAGGGTTGGTCGTAGAGCCGCAGGCGACTCGCTGGCTTCATACCTGTTAAATGTGAAGGCGAGTTGTGTATGAATGCAGGCCATGTCTGCATCCTCTCTAATAACCACTGCATGAACTGTGATAATTGTTACAGTAGCTAATTAAAGCAATTAATATTTTTTTCCAGTGTGGATAACTTCCTTCTGTAGTTTACATATAGATATCTCCAACAACAGTAGTAAATTATTGTTGGCTGGACTCTAGGGGGGAAGGCATACTGCCATACTTTTGACATTACCATGTGAGTTGAGAGGCCGAGCTGAAAGGCAGGGGTGCCTCCCCAGATACAAGAAGGTTTTGATGGGACAAGGAGGAACGCACAAACCTAATAATAATAATAATAATAATAATAATAATAATAATAATAATAATAATAATAATTACAAAGATGGAAGAGCTGGGCTTTGGCTTTAATGTTTTCATAACAAAATTAGCGAGTGACCTAACTACCCATTGAATTTACAAAGCATGAACGAAGGTTGGTCGTAGGGCCGCAGACGACTCGCTGGCTTCATACCCGTTAAATGTGAAGGCGAGTTGTGTATGAACGCAGGCATAGTTTGAACACCTTCATTTAATTATATACAATCTCAGCTAGAGCATATCATTAAACACTGATGAAACATTGAAACATCTTCAAATGTACAATCTAGGACACATTCGTTGAGTTCAACTCAAAACTAATGTGATTTTTTTTTCCCAATGGAAATTCAACTGGGTGATTTAATATCATACCTAACCAACTGAGAAGGTTGTTTTCCATTTTAAGTTGGGTTTGTAATTGTTGGAAATTTAGAAAATAAACCATTTTGACAAGATAGAACTTTTGGGTGGGACAAAAAGATGATGATGGACAAGTAACAAATGGTTACCATGTCCAATTTAATTGCCAACAGTTCTCCAAACGCAAATCACTTTAGCGAACTTCTTCACATATTTATATTATAGCAATTGCTTAAACATTGTCATTTATGATCTCAGGCAAAGAATGTTAAAACATCTTTGAATTTGCATTCTAGGCCAGGTTCAATTCAATTCAATCTTTATTGATAACACAGAAAATTATACTGATACCTGATAATTTGACAAAAATGATAAAATAATTAATTAATGAAAGACCCTTCTGGGACAGGTTTCTATGGTCTTAGCACATTTGGTATCTTATTAGAATAATAAAGACAAGACATTGTTGGATTGGATTGGATTTATTATTCGGTGTAAACACCAAGGATAGCCCACGAAAGTCTAGAAGACTTTTGGTGGTGGTGATTGGGCAGTACATGGGGAGACAATCCCCTACTCTTTTCCGAAGAGTGTACTGCGTGCTCAGCATGCACACGGGACCAACAGCTTAAATGTCTCATCCGAAAGACAGCGTGTTATTGTTACTTGTATTTCAGCCCTCTAGCTGAAACACAAGAGGCAGTGATGGGAATTGAATATTATGTAGGCTACAAAGAAAAACTACCACACTACTTTGGAAGGAAATGTTGTTTTTTTTTTTAATAACACGTAAAACAAAATAGCATCAAGTTAATTATAATTGGCACCATTGTAGATAATTTTATCACACACCTAAATGATGCATTTTGATGTTTCACATGAAATAGAAGATAACTTTAAATAAATTTGGTACCAAATTAGACAGATGAAAAACACTTAAGGAATGTAAATGAAATATAAACAGAACATGAAGACAAAAATCAGTAAAGAAACTAGAAAACACATAGCCATTTTGCTAGCATATATAATTCAGGCAGGAAATTGTTTTAACCTGTTGAAATGGAAAATTAACCATGTCAGGGGCAGTTCCAAAGATGGCCAAAAGGGGACTGAAAATGGGGCCGATTGAGATAACACCACCTTCAGTAGTATACTGCAGAAACCACTGGAGGTCAAAATTACTCATAGTCCATTATCGGACAAAGTGCTATCAGCCATTAGTCATCTGTCAAAACATTGGACCAATTACAAACTCCCTAATAAAACTACATTTACACTGTGAAATGAGTTTAAATGAAACTTAACACATTCCATTTTACAGAAAATTCCACGAAACAGCAAGCAAGCAAGCAAGCGCATTATACTCAAAGTTAGGCGAGCCCAGAGGATGAAATGTTGCAAAATGAATGATTGGTTGCATTAAACTGGAATTGCCAGCAGTTTCCCAAAGCAATTCAGTTTGATGAACCTCTTCATTATTGAAAGTGTCATTGTTTAAACAGCTTTATTTAATTAATACTATCTCAGGTAACAAGAATGTCAAATGTAATAGTGTATGTTGAATGTACAATCTAGGCCGCATCTGTTATGGGTTTAATTTCTTAATATTTACAAAGGTTATTTCCAACTGACATAGATGCAGTATCATAAGGTAGCATTTTTCCATCCTAAATGTACAACATGAAGTTTGGCTGAGCTAAAAAACAAGAACTTAAGTTTGGTATTAAAGTGGAAAAAAAAACAACATCTGAGTAAAATATAAATCAAATATTGCTGATTAAGCTTCAAGTTTAAAAGTGTTAAAAGGAAATAATATAATAATATGTTACACTTCTATAGCGCTCATGCCAACAAGATCTCTTAAAGTGCTTCACATTATTACACCCCGGTCATTGGACAAAGCACATTATGGAACACATACCCAGCTCCCTGGGGAGAATTCTATAATATTCCAGCTCTAATCAGCGCATTTTGTGTTTGAACCTAACAGATATCCTACAGGCACTTTATCTACGTTTGTCTCTCTCTACCCAGGAGTATAAATGGGTACCTGGTAGGATGTGGCATTGAATGTTCTAGTTCCGTGCGCTAAAAAAGTAGCGAACGACTAGGGATACTCCCCAGGGAGAGAGAAAGTTGCACTTTGTGCTGGTTTGCCATTGTACGTTATCCAGTGACCAGGGGTAATAACGCTTGCGCCTTTGATCATTCAATTTGGAATTGGTGCCTTATAAATGTTTGAGTATTATTATTTAAGCTAAGAAGATTTGCCTGTGTCATTATAAGGTAACTGTTACACAGGCTAATCTTCAAAATTAACATGTTGTTTACTCGTTTAAACTATTCCTAATAATAACCACAGTAAACAGCGACCGAACCGTAGACCCATTGCACGTGGCTTATCGGAAACCAGGAAGTTCATCAACCGTTGTTTTACTCAATGCCATAATGCTTGACTGAACAATTGGCTCTTACTTATTAGTTATTCATTAGCTCACAACACTCGATTCGCTCGAGAATTCACTTGCGTGCGGATGGCAAAAGAGCTGTGACCAGTACTTGTCCAAGGACACAAGCGACGTGGACAGCGAGATTTTCGAACCTCAAGGTTGGGAGTCCAAGCCACAATCGATGCACCAACCACTTCTACAAGGAGGTATTTAAGAAACAAGAATAAAAATTGTAAATAGAAACAATATTATTGTAGCTACATTTTCCCACGCAAAAGGGAATATATTAATCAGGCATACTGTACATGTATAATTATGAAGTTTTGCGTCTGTGCTAATTAACTACTAATCAATACAGAAATGTAGTAAAGTACCATTTCTTTACTACGCTATTAAAATAATGCAAGCATAGAATTCTAGGGGTGTAAAAAGGTATTAAATTCTTCACTTAGTATATATGATTTTTTGTCATGGTTGTGTTGATCTTGCGGTGCTATGTGTGAACGATGTAACTCAATTTAACAAACGTTTTTTTAATGTGTTTTCGGATCTGTATTTACTGTAGGCCTACTAAAGAATTTTGTTTTTCGAGCTCACCGAGCGAACATCTGAACATACAGTAGTATACAAAAACTTAGATTATGCTGCAGTCGGCAGCGTAAAACGAAGTTTGGTCTTGAAGTCGTGGTGTATATATCGGTCAATGTACCTGTGTTCACTATTAGAATTAGCCATGTTATTATTATTTGATGCCGGTGGATAGGCAACCATTGGTAAAGTGCCTTTCCTGAGGATCCAAGCGAAACGCACATGCAGCGAAGGGATTGAACCTCCGACCTCGCAAAGTTGAGATCAGAACTGCAACCTCTACACAAAGCTTCACCTACTCATCTCATAGCGATTCTGTCAGAAAAATAAGTCGGTCATAAAATTGTTTTTAAAATACCAAAAATGATGTTGACAATATGAAACATTTTGGAGAGCCTGGAGATACTGTATATAACAATGTTGCAAGGTGAATGAACGGTTGCCACATTAAACCGGATTACCAACAGTTCCTAAAGCAGTTCAGCTTGCTGATCATCACCATCATCATTTATTGAAATTTAAAGTGTCGCTGTTTATACACCATCATTTAATTAAGAACTCCTGCTAACGAATGTCAAATGTTAATATGTTGATGGAACACTGAAACGACAAAGAAACATCTTTGACATTGCAATGTAGGCCGCATTCTCTCTAGGTTAAATAAAGTGTTTTTTTACTAAAGTTCAACTTTCCTAAACATAATAATTTTGAGGACATCAATACTGTAGGTGGCAGTGTTTCCACTTTAGAATAAGCCACCTCTTAAATAAGTTAGTTCTTCAAACATAATGTATTTATTTAATTAAACAAAATTCACTTAACTTAAATCATCTTGGTAAGTATTCTTAACCTAATACAAGGAATCAAATAAATCCTGTATAAATACTATACTCACCTGGATGAATAAAAATATCCATAAACCATTATAATATATAATAGGAACCATAATCAATTATATTATGCAAAGTTATAATTGTTAAATTATAGAAAAAAAAATATCAAACACTAATAGGTAAAAATTTATCAAAATAATAATTGTTTATAGAAATTTCATGTGATAGTGTACTTCGTGGTAGACACATGAAGTTTTTATTATTTTTTTTTGCTTTACTTTCATGTAAATCCTGAACATAATGTTTATTGAACCTTAACAAGAGTTAGTGAAAAAAAATTAAAACAATGAAAAAGGAGAGAATAAAGGTGGGCTACACCCACGAAAGACAAAAAAAAAATATCCATAAACCTATTCCTAACCTAATAATTTTTTAGCTAATAAATTTGAAATAGATATACAGGATAGAATAACAGACTTTCTACAAAAAGAAATTTACAGAGTGAGATGTAAAGCATTCTTTCGGCCAAACAAGTAGTAGTAAATAATAAGTAAGCAAATGAGATATTATCTGAACAAAAGTCAAAACAGAACATTTATGGTTAAGCTTGAATATAAAAATGGGTTAAGAACCCAAGAAACTAATAGCAAATCTATGAGCAAGTAGGGCATGGAATTGTTTAACATAGAAGATAATCTATATTGACAACAAAAAAGAAAAGCCCGGAGGATGATGATATCATCATTGTTGCAAAGTGAATAAATAAATGCCACATTAAATTGAATTAAATATCTTCAGTTAATTGCCACCTCATCTAAAGAATGTCAAATGCAATATATCTTCAATGAAGATTTAACAGTCTTCAAATCTATAGCTGTTTGACAGGAATAAACTTTGACATATAAGTTTAAATGAGGGAAAATGAAGAGAGACTATAAAAATATGCATGATGTCTTACAAATGATGTAAAATTATAATAAACAATGTGTAAATTAAACTTGGCAATTCACTCTGGGCGATATCGCGGTGTGTGTAGGTGTGTGCACAAAATGTTTTAATGTGTATGTATATGAAGTGATAGTGACAAGACCAAAAATGTCTAACGATGAACATAATTGTGTACAGTTCCTCAAATTTAATCCCACTCCATTAAATTTAGCACAATTTGGGGGAAGGGGAATAAACTTATACCAAGGTAATCTCCTTTTCTCAAATTTGAACATCATCATTCACACAAGAAAATTATACGCACCCTCGATGCTAAACAGGGATTGATAGCCAATGTAGATTGTAAAATCATGTTGGAAGCCTATTTTTATGCTTCATCATGGAAATTGAATTGAACTATGAGCAAGTTTACTATTTTTTTATATAATGTTTAATCATGTTTCAAGGGAGTGACCTATCCAGCAATAGTAATCTAATCAATAAAGTATTTTTTTCAAACATTAATAATTTACCAAAAAAAACTTTAGAAATAGTCAGTTTATAGCATTTATTTCACACATAGCCTGTTAAGTTGTATTCTCAAAAAACTTAGTTTTATCGTAAAAAAGTTTTCAGGCATGTTGGTACATAAGAGTCATATATAGCATGGACAATGTCATGTCTGAAAACATTGGAAGTTGGGGCAGTATTATTATTTTATTATATTATTATTATTATATTTATATTGTTTTTTTCCGAAGTGGCAGTTTTATTATTTTATTATTATATTGTCGTTGTTGTTGTTGTTGTTATTCTAATGTATAGCTATTAACTCTCTCTGAGCCTAAATTTTGATGGAAAATTCCAAGTCCAGTTCTCGAATCTTGCTGCTGATTTGATGATTTTTATGTTCTGTAGTATAATAATTATATATATATATATATATATATATATATATATATTACATTTTTATTGTTTTCCTCCTATTTTGTTTGTTCTTTTTATAGTTTTAATATCAAAGTATAATCTTTGTATTAGTTTAAATCAGCATTGCTTTTAGGGCAACCCTAGTGAAATATTATTGAATAAATAAATGGTTGAAATTCTGCTTGCAGTTGCTCAATTGTCACACAGGTTGTTGAACCAGCCAGAAATTGCTGCACTAAAATTCATTTTATTTATGTCGCCATGGTTAATTAACGCCAAATAAAGCTAAATGCCAGAGATGTTACAATAATATAATTAAATATTTACAATTTAAAGTGGATGGTTCAGGTCATATTTTCCGAATTAAATTGTATCAATTTAGACTGATTAATGCATATGTATAAAGTTTGAATGAGTTGAATGATGCCCTAAGCTTTGCTATTTCTCACTAAAAATCATGGTAAAATTTGACTAAAATTAGCCTCGCTTCTACAAAATCCTACAACAAATTATATTTCTAAAGTGGTTTGTTTCACAGTCAATTTCCTCACAAGTGTTAATTTGGATTATATATATTTTGAAAAACGGTAGAAAGTTGAGCTCAGGACATGCGAAGTTTGTGCAATACTAGGATTCCTTACATATAATATATGTAAGCTGAGGGGAGTAGTCTTATTATAAAGACTCACAAGTCCTTTTAGTTGGCAATCCTGAACCTGTAAAACTTGGTTTCCATTCAGTTGTTGCACGCTATCGCAGACAACTTCGGTGATGCTGATCGATCAGTCGATCGGGAGCCTTCCCAATTGCGTAGGGGACTTCTAAGCAGTACAACGATTGCCCTGAAAACACTGTAGCGATTGTATGGAAACCATGCAAAATTGACTTGGGGGGGTTATACACACGAAATGCATTTATCTAGTATTTCCATTTGGAATTCCTCGTCCACCTATCTGGCCACTCTATATGGCATATCTATCGGGATACACAAAGGCCTTCTCGACTCCACTGGAAATTTTTGAAACAAAAAATCACCTCGTATCACATTTTTTTGCCAGCACCCACTCACAAAACCATCAAGCCCTTCCAAGAGTCCCACTTCCAGGGGTCTCCCAGAACTTGCGAGTCTCCAGAAGATTGGGACGGCCTCCCGTACCTCCGCAAGCAAGCATGAATCTCCCGGAAATTAATATCTCCGCAAATTCATAATTTTACATGTATAAAATTTTCAATGCTTTATTATCAATTTTCCCAAGGAAGTCAGTGTCGATGGGTAGCCTATTACTGTGCAGCAGAATAAAATTAAACGTGTAATAAAGAAAGCTCATTAACGGGTGATCAGTGGCAGATTTGGGCTGAGGTGGTCTAGATCCTCCGTCTGTGAAAGTCTCTTCCTCCCCCCCCCCCCCCCCCCGATTGATAAGCCTTCAGATTATTGTAGTGTCAGAGTGAGCCTCGCGCATGGACAAGCAACTAGTGGGATATCGGAAATGATGGAAATTAATTCTGACCAAAATTATTAACTACAGTATTGTACAGAATTGTTGAAAATATGAATGCAATAAATCAATATAAAAAAAAAAAATAATCAGATAAAAATAGAATTTTGATGCGCGCGGGGGTGATAATCTAATATGGGATCTTTTCGTTGGTTTTTTTGGTGAGTCATATGTCTAGTCAACTTTGACCTGTATTAAAGTTATTATGCACATGAAATTGTATAAGTTCATTGTCTTTTGAATTGCCTTGACGTTGATCCAAGTAATTAAAGTGAGTTTCATATGACAGATTTAATCTATAGTTTATCTATTCATTTCTCATTCTTTCCTTTATGCTTAGGTATTTGACTTCTCTCCATCATGATACAAGTACAATAAAACTAAAGATATGAAACTATCTAAAACAGAAAGTATGAAATATTTAAGGTAAGCAGAAAAAGATTTGATCTATTCTTTATTTGTAGCTTTAGTAAAGATTGAGGATATCTAAACTATAGGTATAAATAATCAATATTTGGATTTAAAAAAAAGGGTTACTATAGTGATGTTGGTGCAGTTTTTGAGAAGTTAATTAGTATTACAATAGTTCTTTATTTATATTTTTTTGAAAGAAGGTAGATTGAATAATATATCCTAAGGCTAACCATAATAAAGTATAATAATAATAGGAATAATGGAAAATAGTAGTAAAAATAGTAACAAAACAAAATAAATTAACATTTTATTTATTTGATTATTTGATTATATTTTAGTGCCTTTCTTTGCAGTACGAAGCGCTTTTGTCCCAGGTTATTGAGTTCACATGCTTAAGTGTTGGTGCTGCAATAAGCATGGGAGCAGGCAGCCCGGGAGAGCAGCTTAGCTCAGTCGACTAATCTGGTAGTAGCCACTGTGTGTGTGCCGAACCGTGGAGATCTCTAGGTCCCCGGGGTTCAATTCCAATCGCTGCCTCTCCTTGTGTTTCAGCTAGAGGGCTGAAATACAAGTTACAGTAGCACACCGTCTTTAAGCCGTTGGTCCCGTGTGCATTTATGGCCCATGTGCACATTAAAGAACGCAGTACACTCTTCGGAAAAGAGTAGGGGATTGTCTCCCGGTGTACTGTCCAATCACCACCACAAGGACCCCACTGGAAATAAGTCTTCTTCTAGACTTTCGTGGGCTATCCTTGGTGTTTACACCGAATAAATCCAATCCAATCCAAGCCCCACTAGGTACCCATTTATAGTCCTGAGTGAAGAGAAGCAATGCAGATAAATTGCCTTCCTCAACTAGGACGCAAGCGAAATTTACAGCGTGGGATTGAAACCCCGACCTTGAAGTTGAGAATCCAAATCGCTTCCACATAACAATAATAATATAGAATAAAATATTAATTTAATGAAATACAGCAGAAATTGCAGCTCAGCAATATAGTAGTAACCACAAAATATGACCAAACAGTAATGAAAATGACAATAACAATAACAAAAATAATAACAATAATAGCACAATAGTAAACAGATACATAAACAATAATACCAAATTAATATGCATATATTCTTACTCAATGCCTTTAAAATATCAATCTGTGTCTTGAGTCAGTCTTTCTTCAGATAAGTAATCATACTGTAAATGTCATTAAACTTGCAACACTTTTAAGAAAGAAAATGTTCATAACTTTAGAGGTGCAGTAAGTTGAAAGTGATTTTTCTAGTCTATGACTAACATACGTTAAGCACACACACTAAGAACCAGCTGATGCCACCTAGCCTAAAATAGAATGTGGTTTTATATATACTGTACATGAGGGAGACACCCTTAACTTATGGAGACCCTCTGCTCAGATTCAGGGTAAATTCTGTTTCTCCTTCAATTCATTGATTCCTTTCACACTAAATGTTCAGACACTCTATCCAAAGTCTCATGAACATGATTTTTCACCAAATAAAGACATAAAATTATATTTATTCATAAAGATAATACAGATGGGAAGCATTAATGGTGTTTTCACCTTAAAAATATTATGCTTTAGAAGAGCGCCACCATGCCAGTAGTATTAGCTGCAATATTGCGTTGTAGTACCATCTTCCACTGCTTCACAGGCACATTAACAAGTTCACATGTAGGGAAATGTGCTTTATCAAAAGTTTGTTCATTGCACATTTTAGCTTGGTTTCTACATAATCGCTACACGCAATTGGTGACAACTTTCGGTGATGCTCATTGGTTGGTTGAATCAGGGAGCCTTCCTGATTGCGTCAGGGACTGGTACGTTGTAGGATTGCACTGAAAACATTGTAGCGACAGTGTAGCGATTTTAGTTTCAAATGAGAACTTGAGCACTAAAAATGTTCATAGTATAATGGATAATATAAATATTTTGATAAATGAATTTTTTATGTATGTTAATAATTATATTTACTTTATGTAATTTTATAGTATAAGGGTAATATAATTGTATAATTGATTTTTTTACATATATTAATAATTATATTTTATTGTATTATCAATTTACTTCAGTTAATATAATTTATAATTTTTGTAATGAATATAATTGAATGCATTCTAATTTTTGACAGGGCTGCCCTACACATAAGCTGGCATTCTGGGTTTTTATAGTTGGAAAGGCTACCTTCTTAAGATTGTATTTTGAGTTCTATAAGGGGCTTCGGGGCTTCCGTACATCAGCATAGCTGCAAGATTGCCCACTATAAATATACAGTAGTTCAAATAACTCTAGAATCTCTCGGAGAAGACATATTTATTTTTAATTTTAATTTTTAAAATGATTTGCTTAGCTCATGACTAACTTACATAGCAAATAACCAGCTGATTACTCATAATGAGAAGGGGTTGTTGCGACTGGGGTCAATCATCGACTGAATGTAAAAGGATATTTTTCCATAGTTACCTGACCCTTCAATCACTCCTTACAAAAACACATAATCATGGTTTTCGAGAATCAACTCAGTTGGCAATTATTATGTCCCCGTTAGGATTTAAAAGTCAATAGTACCGGGGAGTCCACTTGAGTAATTTAGGATTTAACGTTGTATGTCAACAGAGAAAATGAAGAAAATGCTGTGTTCATCATTGAATCTGTCGCTGGAGGTGAAAGTCGCATGATCAAACTATCATCACATGTAAGTTGGATGGGACTATTACTTTAAGCAGTCACTCTTTTCCTCTTTGTTTATTATTTCACTTCATTTTATTTATTTCTCTCAGACATACAAAAATACAATACATTAAACAGTAAAACAACCCAAACAAAAACTGAATCCACTATCAAGTGGATTCCCTTACAAGACAAACAATATTACAATATAGCTTTAAAAATCTATAATAAAATAGATCTGCTTAATTAACTATGCATTTGTTTAATTATTAAAACAAGATAAATTACAATCAAACGAAAATGCTGAGGTTTAATAGTCCACACAATATATTTGTTTCAACTTGAATTTCTTACTGTATATTGTATTACTTTAATTGTATGGAAATAAAAGTATATTTGATTAGATTTGATTTAGATACAGTACATGACCCTCAATCTAGTTTTGTGCGAAAAATATCTGATTTGTCCATATATGGGCATGTCTTTTTGCTAATTCATATTTCATAATTTATTTTTTGTAATAATTTTATATAAAATAATTCAAACCAAATTCAACCAACTGTTGCATTAAAAACTGAATTTTATAACATTAAATACTGTACTGTGCCCTATTACAGACAATTTGATCCCAAGAAGCAAGCTGCCGTAAAGTACATTGATCCAATGATCCAATTTCTAGTTCTAGATATTTAAAAACAAGGAAATAAATACAACTATTTTGAACCGAACTAGAAGAACTTTTGGTTCTCATAGCTTCAGTAGCTTAAAAAATTTGATAGTTTTGTCCCCACCAATAAAATAACACTTAGCAGATTATGAGTACTGAGAAATATGTCATGATGATTTATCCGAGTGCATTACTTAATTAATTCAATAAATCCAATTGGTTCAAACACAGCAAAAATCATTTTATTACCGAAATAAAGTCTTTCAATCACTTGATTTCAATAAGAAGTGCTACATTTCTGCACCCAACGTACTGTTTTCGATCTAAAAAATGTTTCCCATGTTAAGTGCTTCTTAGATGTTGATTCCCATTAAATATACTGTCCTGGAACAGATCCAGACGTTAATTTTACAAGTGGAAGGGTGCTTCTTACTTGCATGTTATTTCCTGTCTCGGAATGGATCAAGGAATTTGCAAAGGGTGGGCTCAGAAGAAAGTGCAATGCATTGTAGATGAAAAAAGTGTAGGTGTAAGAGGAAGAATGAATTTTGATAGGTGTCTCCTTCCAATGCATGGGTGATTAAAAGTACATCTCGATTTTGAAGGTCTGTTTTAATCATATTTTCCGAGTACATGACCCATGATTGGCTTATAAAGGAGTGTGTATAAGCAGCCTACAAGTTATACGCAGACTTCTTAAGTACTCCGTAGTTCCTAGTTCTACGGAAATTTTGCCTAGGCCTAATTACAGGCATACAGAAATAGAAAAAAATACATATATACAGTATAGGCCAGAACATATTACTTTTCCATCAGGATCTTTGGTTGCACTGTTACTGAGAAATTATTGAGAAAACTAGGAAAAAGTGTTTTGTAAATCTTCATTCTGTCCTATCTATTATTGAACAAACAAATAATGAAACTATTTATAGAATGAACAAAATTAGATTCAGCAACTTTATTGCCAATTTCATGCGATACTTTGTCAGAAATTACAAAAAGAGTATACCTAGCCTGATAAAACATGAAAGTTATGATAGTATTTTTTTTTGGTACCACATGATATCTTTAGATAAAGACATGAAAATGGTCTACAAAAATAATCGTTTACTAGTACCATGAGTCATTTAAACATACAATCTTCTGCCAAAACACATAGAAACATTTAGTGACTGTTGAACCAATGTTTTTAACATGCAAGTCGGATACATTCTATTCAAGCAGAATGGTGCATAATTTAATTCACCTAATCTATCATTTTATTAGAGCATAATTATTAGTCCCGTACCTTTTGGATTAAATTTTGTTTGTTTTGTTTTGCTTCACTCTATAGTTAGCACTATACAACTTTACTATTTTCATGCACTATATTCATTCTTGACAATGGGGAGCATGCAACAAGTTCTCCTTTTGCATCATCCCTGGATGTGCCACTGTGCTCATTTAAAATGATCAAAATAATTATCAACTGTCAGTGGGCCACGACTCCAAAATGATACTTTCAGGGCATAAATTCTAGAACCTCTTCAGAACAGTTTAGAGAACGTGCCTGAAATTGACCAGGTTCAATGTGTGCACCAAGAAACTTGTTTTGCCCTGGACTTTCCCCCAATTAGAAAGTGATGTGTGCTATACGCTCAGTGTTGAATCCAAAATTTAACTGGGCTCTCACACCCATTGTTATGCCCCCACCCCCACACCCACAAGCTTTAAATATACCTCACATTTGCCGGGTTGTGAAATAAACATTATTTATTGAATATGCTTCAATAAACACTTAAAATAGGAAACACATGATTACTGTATGGTATCACACAGAAAGTTACATTCAGATGTTTTCAGCTACCTGCCTCACACAGGCCTACCTGATGAGTCACCCATATCAATTCAAAGGCAGATAAACCTTTAGCAACACATTACAGTTGCTGCCGGCAATCGTTTACCAAAGTACATAAAAACATAAAAACAAAGACTGCTGAACCAATATTTTTAACATGCAAGTGGAATACATTCTATTCAAGCAGTTTAATTGAGCATAATTTAATTTACTTTCTAAATTTATTTTATTTTCTAACACGTTATTAGTCCTGTACTTTTTGAGTTGAATTGTTTTGTTTGTTTTGTTTCACTGTGTGGGCACTATAACCTAAAAAAAAAACCCCTCAAAAAGTTCAATCCAAAAAGTACAGGACTTTTAATGAACTTTTATCCTTCCACACTTTTCAGGTTGAATTTTGTTAGATTTGGTTGTTATGTGTAGGTGGCACATACTTGACAAGATCACGTATTACAAAGATCTTTAAATTATACATAAAACCAGAATCTCTTGTCTAATTTTCTTTAAAATCATTAACAGCGGACTTATTTATTTTATTTGACTTATCCTATACTACAAATAACAAAACCATAATAGCTAAGTTCACATTCAGAATTTAACGTGATCTAGTGGATTACGATCAAGCCAGTCTCTTTATGTCAGGGGTGGGCATAAAAATCAGTCGGAGGGCCAAAATGACTTTCTGATTTAACACTGAGGGCAGCACCCAAACTTTAATCTTTCCAGTGCACTTTCAAAAACCTCCAAGCGCTGATTTTACACTACTTTATTCCCAGTTTTAATATTACTTTTTACATGTGATCGGTGTCGGGCCATTGTTTTCTAGCCAATGTTGCTTGGTGGGCCGCACACATAGGCTTTTTAATTCATATTCGCGGGCCACAAAAAAATCGCTGTCGGGCTGCATGCGGCCCTCGGACGGCACTTTGCCCACCTGTGCTTTATGTGAACCAACCAGAATAAAATAACGTGCTCAGCTTGATCACCTATCGTGATCTAATGGAGCATGTTGATTCCTCATGATTAACCTTGGTTAACGTGGTAATTTAATTCATGCGATCAAATTCAACCAATCAGCCTTCATTTTATTAAACAGGCCCCAACCTCATTGGTTGTGCTTCTGGTAGGTCCCAAACTCATTGGTTGTGCTTCTGGTAGGTCCCAACCTCATTGGTTGTACTTCTGGTAATTTTCATGCAACACTGCACACATTAGCATAAATAGATCATGATGATGTTTTCTATACGAATGGTTTTCTCTAACATGTTAAAGTTATGATGAATAGATCATGATAACTTTATCACAATTATGTGAACGTGCCTATTGTAAGACTTCACATTATAAAAACAAAAAGTACATAGACCTACAGTAAGACAATAAATGTGTAACCAGTTTTAAATTAATGACAATGTTCAAGTATGATATTTGATTGAAAAACTTCATCAGTTTTCATTAGTACTGGTAAACATTTTTGGAGTTATTGAAAATAAAAGAAAATTCAAATCAAATATGAGATTTAATTAAACCTTGTACATTTAATGAAAACATTTATACATCTCATATTCATTATCATTAAAAGATGAATTACGATAATTTGTCACTGTTAATTATGTGATTTTCCTACAGTATCGCATTTCTAAAGCTTGGCACACACAGATTGACTTGTCAGCAGAGTGCATGATTGCTAATTTTCCATGTGGATCATCGTCAAAAACAATCCACCGTGTGCGGATCTTCTTGGTTTACATACAATCTCATTGACGATAGTCAGTAGATGCAGTATGCTGGTATAAAAATGTAGGCGGTAAGTAGGTTGATTGTTGGAGTCCTTTTTCCCCAATAAATTTGTCCTCCACAAATTACTAACATCAGTAGATTCTTGTTGAGCTGTCATTTTATATTTTATTACAATTTTCAATGCTAAAGATATATACTATACCATTCATTTCACATACTGTAGAATACATCCCTATCATTAACAAATAGCTGTATAAAAATGCTGAGATTGAAACAACAGGTAAGCTGAAGCCAACACCCCATGTTGACTAAACGTGCCCCCCCCCCACCTTTGAATAAATTCCCCCTCAAGAGCCTCATTTGGAATAAACGCCTCCCTCAAACAAACGCCCAGGCGTTTATTTCTTCCTTGAATAAATGCACCCCCCCCCCCAAATTAAAAATAAATAATGGAATTAAACAAATATAATGGAAGCAACATTATTCTCAACACATTCTATTAATGTTTTACTTTTAGAAGAATTTTTTCTAACCTGGTGGGATCACTTACTCTTTCATGATCACGCAATAACACATTTTCACAGTAATTGAGTGTTGTAGTTCCACATTTACAGTGAAATTAAGGGGCGTTTATTTGAGTACAGTATATACCTATCAATTTTACACCCAAAAATGAACGCCTCCCCCAAAAAAACCCTTCTCAACAATAAATGCCTTGGGGAATTTCTTCAAATAAATATCGTATATAATAATATATTCTCTGTGACCTAACTAAGCGCTTTGT